CATGTCGCTGCGCTCCGCCCCGGGGCGGCGCCGCCGCCACTACCGCCCTGCGCGGCCGCGGCGGGGCCGGGAAGCGCGGCCGGTCCTCCTCCTCCTCCTGCTGCTGCTCCTGCCCGCCCCGGCCCTGTCCCGCGGCTCCTGTGTTTTCCGGGGTCAAGCCGTCCCTGCCCGGGGCGGCCGGTAGCCCGGGCCCTCCTGTTTAGAAAACCAGGAGGATGAAGAGCGAGGGGAGCGTCGAGCTTGACGCCGCTTTTAACGTGTACCGCTGCCACGCGTGGCCTTTCTCGTAAGCTCGGGGCTGCAAGCGTGTCTGCGAGGCAGCGCTGCAGCCTGCAATGACAGATCCCCACAGACGTTCATCCCCGGGGTGGGAAGAGGGTCGTGCTTAGCCTCCGAGGCCTTTCGCGGAGAATGCAGAAGGCACGGCCATGGAAAAGAAACCGCACTTCCTTAGGAGGGAGTTTCCTCCCAGGGAGGTGTCATCCGTCTCGTTGGCGTTACTGCTTGCGGCCGTCCTGCTCCTGAATGCCCTTCTCTACCTGAACCTCAACAAGTTTTACACCTCTTCGGGACATGCCGAAACGGACCCCAGCCTCTGCGCTTTCGGGTACTTCAGATTGGGAGCGGTGAAGAATTGTTCCCCGTGGCTCTCCTGCGAAGCCATAAATAGGGAAGTCAGGAAACTCAAGCGTGTTGGTGAAGGCGCTGTGAAAAAGGTGAGTTTGGTTTTCCTTTCTTCTCCCCTGCGGATAAAGAGCTTTCACTGTTTGCTGGCTAATTAATGCCCATACTGCTGTTACAATTATCCTCACAGCAGCTCATTACTGTAGACATCCAGGGGTATATGGCTATTGATAAGGTGCACAGAACAGGTAGGAGAGTGTGACTGGAGCTGTGGGCCACCTCCCTGACACCGAACGACATCCAGCTATACAAGCAAAATCAAAGAGATTGGTGAAGCACTTGTGGAGCGTGGTACAATTGTGGCAGAGTAAGACTGGGTGGTTGGGTGGTATGAAATAATTTAATTCATCTGCATTGTCCCTTCCAAAGAAAACTTAGGAAATCATGATGTAATTATGATTTCAGCAAGCGCTTGCTGTGACAGGTACGTGGCCCTACCTAAAGGCTTGACTGTGCCTGGTGACTGTAATTTGCAGTTGTGACTAAGCAGTCACTCGGAGGTCAGCAGCAGCTGGTAGCAGGTGATGGAAGAAGGCTCTCCACATGTCTTACGTGTCTCTTGTGTGTTCTCAGGTCTTCCTTTCTGAGTGGAAGGAAAACAAAGTGGTCCTTTCACAGCTCACCAACTCAGAGCTGAAGGAGGACTTTCTCCACGGACTGAAGATGCTGAAAGCACTTCAGAGCAAGCACGTTGTCCGGCTGCTTGGCTACTGTGAGCAGCAGTTCACAATCCTCACTGAGTACCATCCTCTAGGCTCCCTGAGGGGCCTGAATGAAACTCTCCACATTCCAAAGTACAAGGGCATGAACACCTGGCATCGCAGGTTGATGCTTGCTATAGACTATGTGAGCATCATTCGGTACCTGCACAGCAGCCCTCTGGGCACCTTAGTGATGTGCGACTCGAATGACCTGGACAAGGTGCTCTCTCAGTATCTCCTAACAAGTGACTTTCACATCCTGGTGAATGATCTGGACGCTTTGCCTCTTGTGAGCAGGAGTGCCGGCAGGCTGGTGAAGTGTGGTCATCGGGAGCTCCGAGGCGAGTTTGTAGCTCCTGAGCAGCGTTGGCCTTATGGAGAAGAGGTGCCATTCGAGGATGACCTCATGCCTCCCTATGACGAGAAGACAGACATCTGGAAAATCCCAGATGTCTCCAATTTTTTGTTGGGCCACGTTGAAGGAAGTGACATTGTGCGACTGCATTTGTTTGACATCCATGCAGCATGTAAGAAGAAGGACCCGGCTGAAAGGCCTTCTGCCCAAGAGGTCTTAGACACCTACAGGAAAGTTTTAACTCTGCTTATTCGGGAGGCAGCCATGCCTGGTACTAGGGAAATGTTATAGTGCATCATGAGACAAACAACATACTGAAGTTGATGTCCTTCCTATTTATTTAGCTTGCCTGAAGGGCAAAATCTCTGTCCCCAAAACTGAGAAGAAAATAACAACTGAACTTGTACCTTTTGATTTAAAAAAAATAAAATTCACCCAATGCTGGAGCTGTGCAAGCTTCCCATTGGCATGTTTAATCTATCATTGGAAGAGGAGGAGGGAGAGAAATGAAGTTATGTAGATGTGGGAAGAAATTTGTTCCTTAAGAAATAATAAATTTTCTTTTGCAACATTTGCACAAAAACTCTCTTAAAAAAAAATTCAGAAAAAATGTTAAAAAAAATATTGGTTCACTTAGACTGATTGGCAGAGGACTGGAGAGCAGAAACCATGGCATGTTCCCCACAAACTTTGTGCTGATTCCTGTGGCTTTGGCCCATGTCTTATCCACAAAGCCCTCACCCACTTCCCCATGGCATAAAAGCAGTGGTCACTCAGAAAGGAGTACCCCAGTCCACTTCAGATTTTGGTGAACCCCAAAGCCAGAGCCCCAACGGCAGTCTCTCCCTGCTGGATGGGACATAGTTGTTTTGGAGCTGTATGGCCATTGCTCTGTGGGCCCCATATCCCACACCAGCAAGCATGTGGCCACTTTGTAAGCAAGCAGATGATGCAGATCCCAAAGAGACTGCTTACAGACACGTGCTCTTGGTTTTCAAGCCTTTGCTGTGTGGTATTCTCAGATGGACTCTTTGGAGATGAAGCTGTAAAACAGGAGTCTCCTGCTCTTTTTTTAATCCACAGAAATCCTGAGCACTTTGGAAGAGAGCTGAAGCATGTCTTTTTCATTCACTTACCCTTGCCGAGTGTCATCATGACTCGATGGAAGGGGGGAGAACCATGAACTGAAAGAGAATGTTACTTCCTTCCACAGCAATGAGCATTAAACTTGAGCTTTGGAAAATAAAAGCCCTATATCCAGAGCATACAACTCAATTGGGTCTGAATTCAAAGTCCACTAAGCATAAAGAAAGGCTGCATTTTTGTCCAGTGTGTTTAGGAGGAAGCTTTTGGTACCTACATGGATGTTACAGCCTGGTACTAACAGCTGGAGAGGAAGAATAATGATGCCTTAATCCAGCAGTAAGCTCTGTTTGGTGGGATTGGAACGTACTTGTTCTCTTGGTGAAAAAACAGGAATAGTATGAATGAGACACATGGACTCTACCATTACGCACCTGAGGACTTTCTGTTCTGTGGACTAGGTCTTTGAAAGACCTCAAGGCCTGAGACAACTTTCATGTTTTGACTTGAGAGGTGATTTGCAAGTAGAGAATTACATGGTCCTTTCTGCTGAAGAGTTTGGTTCTGTTCTTTGCTGTGATGATCTTCCTCTTCACCTAAACAAGCTGTGTTATGACCGCACTAAGAACATGCAGTCAGTTTGTATACATAATGTTCAAACACATGTGTGTTCTATTGCTACCAAAATTTTATTTTAAATGGGAAAACTTTCCTGCAAATGACTAAATTCTTACCTGATTTCATACAATGCCAGCAGGAGCCCTTTAAAGGCTGCTCATTATGGCTTTCCTTTCCTTCTGGGCAGTCTGTTTTCTTAAATTAGCTGATTTTTGCCATTTTTCACTTGTGCAGTCCTTCCTGGCAGCTTTCCTGCTCAGATTATCAGGAAGCAAAGGTCAGAAGTCACGGTTTTCTTCAAAAGGGAACAATGATTTTGGATGCTTTGTGTTTGTTTTGGACTTTGACTCAAAACACCTTAAAGAAGCCTGGGGAAAAAGAATGCTCTCTCTGTTGTAATTGCATCATCCAGCTCATGAACTCTTGAGTTGTTATTATTATGGTTAGAGTTCTACAGTTCCAGCATGAATCCAGGATGTGCAACAGTTGGAAAAGCATCCTGTTACAGCTCCTCAAAGCCAGGGATCAAGCTTTGAAGGGCCAAGAGTCAAATCTTTTTTAAGTCCCCCCAGCAATAACTTGTTAATTCTTGTTAGCCATCATGCATAATTGAAAGAAAAATCAGCATCTGATGGCTGTGAAGTAAACATACCATGCATTTTTTATGGGAGTAGCAAGGACAGACAAGAAGAACCTGCCAAGCTTCTTATGCTGGTCTTTCTTGGTTAAGACAAGCTTCTGCTTGGATTCTTGCTCTGTTGTGTACTGTTGTACCTTGCAAACAGCCATATTAATTTCACAGAGTGAAAAACAAATGAGGACAAATTCTGGTTCTGAATAATTATCTTGCTGTGAAGATGTCTCCCTGTTCCTGGATGAAATAGTTACAAATTTTTTTAAGAAAAGGTGTCTCCCTAAACATTCACCCTGAGCACTGGGACCTCTGCATGTCTCGTCCCCATTCCTTCTCCTTCAGCTTGTGTGTTGTCCAGCGTTGTATTTCAGCAGGAATAAATTACATTTGTTCTGAATACAGCATTACGGAGCTTCACTCTCTTTTTTGGGATGTTGTTTCTGTCTATGAGGAAACACTAGATGGCAGCATGAAGGTCAGCTTAGCATTAGTTATTAGCAGTTGCAGTCTCTCATGCCCAAACTTAGCCAGGATCTGGCCTTGGAGCCAGTATTTTGCTATCAAACTTCCATAAAACCCTAAAAGAGCTCATGGTATTTGCATTAGCAAGTCTGTAGTAACAAGACAGATAGATATAAGGTCTGTCAGAAGAGCCACACATGCCAGTTGAAGGGGCTACCTCCCCTTTAACTTGCTTATGGTATTTGTATACTTTACCGTCCCTTTTAATCTCAACATGCTGCAACCTCAACCAAGTTTGAGTGTCATCTCCTTCCAGTCTTTCAGTAAAATCAGAGTAGTCTGCAACCTCTCCATCTTCCTGTTCTTCCCCACTAACCCCTTCCACAATCTCAAGATGCATGAATCCCATCCTTCCCACATTTCCAGCTTCTTTTTCCTTAAAGGGAAGAGGCAAGGCCTCAGGGAGAGGGAAAAAGAGGCAGGACAGCCCTATGTGCAGTTGCCTCCCCTCTTTCCAATTGTCTCTGCTAGGCATTCCAGTTTTCACCACCAATGACAGCCTTGGATAAACATTCGGGGGCTTTGCTGCCTCAGTACAAGCAGCTCTTATATGTCTGGTGGAAAACATCAAAGGATGAAGAGCAGGAAGAGGCCTGTTCACAGGTGAAAGCCTGCAAGCCCCTCTCTCCTCATCCACTCCCCAGCCAGCTCTAGACCAGTGGACATGATCTCCCCTGCCAAGACCACTGCCACAGCTCTGGCTAACCTCAGCAACAGCTGCTGGTTCTCATCTCGAGCTCAAATCAAGGGCCCCACATTCCCTGCCCTTTCCCACAAAAAAATGCTTCTCCTGGGATGGTTATTGCTAGGTTTCCTATTGTATCACTGTTCCTCCATCCCAAAAGTCTAGCCAAAGAAGCTGCACAAAGATGCAGGCCACACAAGGAGAAGAACTGCTACTGGTGCTCATCTCCTTTAGAAAACTTCAGAGGAGGTTCCCCAAACCACCCAAGGTGGTCAGTGTCAAGGGGCATATGGTCCCAGTGGTCCCAGGGCTTTTGTTTGCTGCCATCACCAAGATGGCCTTGGGTCTGGCCCCTTGCCCAGGGAGAGGACAACCCTTTTGCTGAGGTCAGTGATCTGCACCACGTTGCCCTTCCCTTTTGGGCAATGTCTCCTCTGCCATCTCTGCAGCACATCCTGCCCACCTCATCCGACCAGCTAGACAAAGAACCAAAGCAGAGACCGTCTCCCAGACTCAAGAAATAGCACCTGGTTCCCAGACTGAACCCCCCTGGGACACTGCTGCGCCAGCAGCGGAGGAGACAGGGAGACCTAGGACATGCCAGCTGAGCCTGCTGACAGTCTGGCTGTGGGTGCCAACTGTGTCAGGGCACCTGGACCCACTACTGGTATGGTATGCTCTACTCTTTGTCTGATGCTGTTGCTAAAACAAACTCCCAGTGGATTTCCCAATAAAGTTTAGCCCTTACCAGGTAGGTTTGTACCACAGGATACAGAACAGAAACAGCCTGTCTCAGAGCAGAGTCCCAAATTCAGTTCAAACCCCCTGCTCCTTTCTTTTTCTCCTCAGAGTAATCCAAAGAATAGCGCTGTCAAGGTTATGCTGTTTTCCTTTCCAAGCTGCCTGCTGGCTGCAGGCTTCTAAGTGGCTCAAGTCTGATGTAGCATGTTTCCCCTTGTGTGGCATGGGTTTCAGACTACATCCTAAAAGCAATCCTATAACTCTAAATCCTGTACAGGTGAGCAGTCTTTACAGCAATTCACCTGTATGTTCGACACCATCAAATGTGAAGTGTTGCATGCATATCCACACCAGCTGCTATGTAGGTCTGGACAAACGCTGAGGAAATAAAATGGACAACCTATTTAATTGAACAGGGTTGTTTGGGTTTTTTTTCTTTTTTGAAGGATACTTTTAAAGTCCATGTTACCCTGATTTAATAAAGTGGTAACTATTAAGCTTATCAGAAGTTTAGAATACCACACAAACTTTTTGAAATTCTATCGCAAGCTCTAAAACAATATTTTCCTTTGGTGCCACATAAACAAAACATCAGATCATTATCTTTGTGAAACAGAGGCAGTGCTGTTTGCCAAATGTAATTTGTGAGATATTTGGCAGAACTTGCAACCATAAACCGATTCTATCATTATGGCTATAATATCTTACCAACAGTCAAGAGACCCTGGGAACAAGAAAATAGTGGTTCGCAAGTTCTTCTAGCATGATATAATGCGTTTATTTGTAGAGTTCATCCAAATAAATTATAAGCTAGATGGTACTTTTAAAAAAGAAAAAGGATTTTATGGTTTTATTTTAATTGAAATACTGTATACTTGAGATGACCACATGATTTCCAATAATTGTCAGTCTGTGTTCTGAAGCCTATAATCCAGTATTTATCAGGATTAAATGGTGAATATATTTACATTACAGTGATATTTATGTCTCAGCGATTTCTGATTCTGTTTACCTCTGGGTAACTCAAAATCCATTAAAAATTATATATTTATATAGAGATACACACAGATTCTCCGGCCATAATTTTCAAAAGAACAAGCTTACTGTTAGATTCCAGCATTCACATTTTGAATATGAATTAACTGCATTTTCAAAACTGATAATATTCAGCAGCTTTCAGTCAAATTTATAGTAGCTGCTGGATGCTAAGGACTTCCAGAAAGTGAATTCTTTCCTTGTAGAGGTGGAAGACCCTTTTCAGCAATTCTCTTGATAACTCTATGGGACTGAAGTGGGTGCTTTTATCAAGTACACGCTAGACTTCTTTGTGGAATGAACAAAGTTCCCACTTTTGTGAAAGTTGGGATTTTTAAATTTTTTTTTTTAATTAAATCACACACCTATGTGTTTTTCTCCTCAAGAGCTGGTTCCTGTGAGGGGTTGTGTCTGACCCATAGCTGAAACTCCCCAGTCTTATTTGCTACCATGTAATGTTGAGAACCTGGCCACTAAGCCTGGGTCTCCATTAGCTACATTTCGCCAGAATAGCTTATGCCAATGCCATATATTATTATTATTATATATTAACTGTTTGGTGCCTACATGCTTTGGTCACAGGCCAGAATCCTGGAGGTCAGATGCTATACAGTCACAGCACAAATGACAGTCCTTTCCCTACAAGCAGCTTTAGTATAAGAAAATAGAACACAACTGATGTCCTCATGCATTAAGAGCATATGCAAGCATTGGTTATCCCATCCTACCCCATCCAAGCTACAAATAAATATGCTACATAATCTACATGGACAGGTCACACCATTTCTTGTGCACATAACAACAACTGCAAGGCCTGACTTTGCTCTGACCAAATCAACAGCAGCTTGCATTCCCATTTCTGAAGGTGTTTCAGGAGCCTAACACTGCAACAAAAGCCCAAGCTATAAAAGGAAACACCAGTGTATCAGGAAAAGGTAACCCTAGGCTTAAGAGTCAACCAACTTTGGTATTTGAACCAGATTCCTCAAAGAGGTCACACAGAAGGTCTACACTCCAAGAACTCCTATTGCTACAGGCCAGCAAGTGGGAGATCACCCCTTTTTCTCATGTTTGCAAGGCTGTCACACTCACTGCAGCACCAGATGTTGTGCTGCTTAACCTAACCCCGTCCTACACACTGCTTAACATTTGCTAATTTCAGACGGGTATGTAGGGGAACAAAATCTCTCTCTGCCTGTCTTCTAGGCTGGGGGTTGTCACGCCCCACCTGTGGGGAGGAGCAAGTTACTCAGATTCACAAATCCCCTTCCGTGTGGACTAAGGCGAGATAACACTCAAGGTCCATACATAAGCATCAACTTTAATGGAAAATTTCTATAGAAACAAGTATTATGCAAATGTTGGCACTTTCACAACTATATCTACCTGAGCTATGCAGCTTTATGGGCAGTCAAGGTCAGCCCTGAGTTACTTAACAATTTTAAACACTACTCAGTAGCTTTAAGGTTACTCGGAAGAGAAAAGAAAGAGAAAAGGAGAGAGAGGGAGAGAGAGGGGGAGGGAGATATCCCCAGTCCGGGATCCAGTGTTGGCCCTGCCAATGGGGGCATTCAGCATAAAGAGACCCATTGCATTGTTTGTCTGATTTTATTAGGCCTGGTTTTGTTCTTTACAAGGGAAAGACGGTGTGGGAGAAGTTTGTATTCTTACTTTGTGGATGTATAATCTTGTCTCAGTCGACTGGG